ATTGTTTGATTTTTTAATTTTTTTTTTTTTTTTTTTTTTTTTTCTTCCAACTATGTGCTGACAACTCCCTTTTCTGCTGAAAATCCATTTTTAGTCTGTTTGAACACTGATATTTTCATTTCCTTTCAGAAAAACCCTGAGATTTATTACAGTATATTTTAGCACTTTAGCACTTTGAAACTTTGCTTGAAGAAAGTTTCATACACAGCATATGTATGTAAAACTGAACATTGCATCTATGTAAGATAGAGTCTGTGTATGCCTAAAGATTAATTTACCTTTGTTACTGCTAATTTTGCTTGCTATCTTCAGAAAATGCCTCTTTTTTTTCCTTTTTTTTTTTTTTTTTTTTTTTTTCACTTAGGTCACTCATGTTCTAAATGTGGCATATGGAGTCCAAAATGCCTTCCTTGATGACTTTATATACAAGACTATTTCCATTCTGGACCTCCCAGAAACTGATATTACTTCCTATTTCCCTGAATGTTTTGAGTTTATTGAGAAAGCCAGGAACCAGGTATGGTCTATAAATAATTAATGTTAGTAGTTACTGTGTTTAGATTATTTATTACACTATTTAAGAACTAAAGCAGCTTCTTTTCTTGAAAGAAAATACTGTATTGAATGAATAGTTGTGCCATTTTCTTTTTTGATTTTAGATAGAAAATCCAAGTGATTTCTAAGCATTCCTAGAGACATAGCACTGCTGTTAATCTCCATTYCCTCCAGCACTACTTTTTCAGGTGACTGTCTTGAGTTTTAGAGAAATACTTCTTTAATACAGTTGGACCAGGGGTTGACTTKAGGTTAAAAAATTGCATCCTAAATCCAAGTCACTACTCCTGGCAGAAGGAAATGGAGCAAATTTACTTATCTATTGGGGTTGTTGTTTTGGATTAGAAGCCARCCTCGATTAGAAGCAAGAAAAATGTCTTTTACAGATCTGTGTGGTTTATCATCAGCTGTTTGCTGTCCTTGTGCTTTTCATCATAGAATTGTTGAATGGTTTGGGTTGGAATTTTTTTTAATTTTTTAAAGATTATGTAGCTCCAACCCCCTGCCAAGGGCTGGGACACCCCTGACTAGATCAGGTTGCTCAAAGAAGATGCTATGAATCCACATATATACCAAGAGTGTCAGAGAAWGTGTTAGTAGACTTGGAGCCAAAAGTGACTTAATTGCTCACAAAATCCTGAAAAAGATGTGACATAGAAAATAGGCTGAAAAACCCTTCTGGGGGTGCTCGGCAGAGTTATCTGTAACTAACAGTATGCTCAACTCACAGCTGTTAAATTCAGACTTACTGTGTAATTTTCAACAACTATTGTTTTGGTATCTAAACTAGGACTCAACAACCGAACATTATTGCATGTTATTCTACCATATCTATCAAGTTCATTGTTTATGTAGATTGGGATAAAAGATGATCTTGCCCCAGTTTTCTTTGTGTCGCAGTGTTCTTTCCTTCTCTCATTTATAATTTACAAGCTATGTGATAACGTATAATCACTTAATGACCTTTTCAAGGTTTCTAATTACGGTTTCCAGTTCATTTCCAAATGAGAGTTGCCATTCATAACTGCAAAATTTCTCTTTCTGCCTCTGGTGTTTATGTCCTGGTTACTATTTTGTAAGTTAAGGAGTTTTCAGGAAAATTTTTACAGCAATATTAATAGTTTTCTGATGGGAGARGTGGATGAAAGAGAAGGTAATTGATGGAACAGTTGTTCTCCAGGATCAGTTAATAAAGCACATGATAGTGATATGCAGAGACAGATCTCTGGGTGGTTTGACTTACTTTATTTGCTTTGTCAAAATAGTGTTAAAAGAGCTCACGATAAATTGTGTCCTGAATTGCTCTTCTATTCAAGTAATCACAGAGATAATTTCATGCTTATACCATGCTTAATCTGTCTCTGGACTTACGTACATGTGTAAATATTTGCTTTGAGCTCAGCAAGGAGCTTTCAATAAGTCTTACAAGAATTTTGTATGAAGTTTCTTACATGTGTTATCTACCTAATGAATATCCCAACTTATGTTTCATTTCTTTTTTGGAGGATGGCGTGGTATTGGTTCACTGTAATGCAGGAGTCTCCCGTGCAGCRGCTGTAGTCATTGGTTTTCTAATGAATTCAGAAAGACTGAGCTTTGCCAGAGCCTTTTCCTTGGTGAAAAATGCAAGGCCTGCAGCTTGTCCAAATCCTGGCTTCATGGAGCAGCTTCACAAGTACCAAGAACAGATTATAAAGACAAATGGAAGCATAAACAATCATGACTGATCAAAAGGGAGAAATGAAATAATCTCTTTTSACTATACAGGAGCAGATGTTGGATGTACTTTAATCTGTCATTTTGAAATCCCCTTTCACATGCCCATTTTCAAGTCTYGACATATTTTTTCTTACCCTCCTTTGACCTTTTTTCCAGCATGTCATCAAAAGGCCAAATGGTGTCGCACTGACTTCAGAGAAGTTTTGCCTAAAACCAAAGCGCTAATAAAAAGATAAAGCTCAGTTTTCCTTGAAATATTAGTAAACAATAGAATGATGGTTTCCTTACTGAACCATCAGAAAATGTAAGCAATAGAAAGGAAATAACTGACATAAGTTGCTTTCTTTACAAATCTGCATTCCTGGTTGGTTGTAAAAACTAGATAATAAAATGTTCATATAATGAAATACCTTGATATTGGATTTTAAAATTGTACTGTAGCTGTAGATGATATTATTGAATTTTGTGGGCTAGCCAGCCATTAGTTCTTTATTGAAATTAAAATTATGGTCTTTTGAGGATGCTCAAAATGCACAGGATACTTTAATGCTTTGTGCATTTCTACTGTTTCTCATCAAGWAGTGATTTTGAAGTGCACTAACATCATGATTCCAGTACTGGAACTAGCAACTTGGGGTTTTTTTTGTAAATCATTTTAGAGAGAATGATCTGTCTCTGCTCATGCGCCTGCATTTTCTTCACATTTGGCCCTCATGTGTTGTCGCCTCACACCATTGCACATCATATGTTAAGAACAGCCATCAGAGGATATGTAATTTTGACTGTCCTGAGAAATTCCAGGCTGAAATTACTGTATTAATATGGCATGCTATTTTTAAAAAAATCTGTACAAGATTTTAACGTAATTGTGGCCTTCATGCCAGCTCTTAATGGTTTGATATATTAATATGCAACAAAATAAAATTAACACTGTTTGGATAAATTGTGTGCTAAAGTGATTTTAAAGTTTGATTTCAAGATCAGTGTTCTGTACTGGTACCAGTAGTTTGAACTGYAGCATATCACTGTATTTGAACCACACCCTCTCTTGTTCTCAGTATGAATTGCTCATGCTCAAGACCATGTAGTGACAGAGCAAGGAGGAATGGATTCAAAGAAAGTAAGTAGGTTTAGATTAGATTATTTACACTGAAGGTGGTGAGGCCTTGGCACAGGCTGCCCAGGAGAAGCTGTGGCTGCTCCATCCCTGTGACTGTTCAAGCCCAGGTTGGACGGGCCTTGGAACAACCTGGGATAGTGGAAGGTGTCCCTGCGCATGGAACGGGGTGGAAAGGGATGGGCTTTAAGGTCCCTTCCAAGACAATTGTATGCTAAACGTTAATGCGGGATTTACACAGCCCCGCTGCATTCGGTCGCTCCTCCGTGGTCACCATTCCCCGTGTCCGTGGGGGAATCGCTCACTGCGTTGTCCCGACGGACGCGGGTGGCTGTGCTCTGGCAGCCCAGGCAATGACCGACAGCCCTTTTCCTGGGGAGGCAGCGTRGGGAAGCTGCTCTGAGTTCTCAGCCCGTGGAAGAAACCCAGGACAAGCCCTTGTAACGGTGAGCGCGGTTCCTTCACCTCTCCTCACGACCCGGCCCTCCCCGGGCGGAGGGACTGTTTGCCGGGGAGCCGTGAGGCGACAGCCCGGCCCAGGGTAATGCCTAGTCCCCAGGGCCTCACCCCGTGCCGGAGTTCCACCCGCCCCGTTCCCCACACCATGTTAGGGGGACGGCTCGGAAATGACGGCAGCAGGAAGTTCCGTCCCGTTTGAAAGAGCCCGGTGGAGCCGCCGCCTCTTTCCCGCCGCCCGGGCCGACATGGCCGCGTTCGCCATGGAGCTGCCGTCCGCAGGTGAGTCGGGCCCGGGGGCTGCACCCCACCCACGCCGCGCTTGGGCTTTGCCGGCTGTCTGTTCCGAGGGCTCCGGGGCTGCCGGGGTGGGTCCCGGGGCTGCCTGGCTCGTGTGAGGGGACTGGAGCCAGGGCCGACCCCCTGCTCCGGGCGGGAGACAGTGGATGCTGCTGGGCTGGAATGGGCGACGCCGGGACGGGGCGGTTCGCGCTGGGGTGAAGCGAAACGGGGTTAAATCCATCGGCCGCCACTTGAGAAAAGTGCGAGATTGTGATATACTCGGCTTTATTGTAAAATGAACGATTAAGCTGGCTTTGATCTCATCAATACATGTAAATATCTCAAAGGCGGGTGCCAAGAGGGTGATGCCACGTTCTTTTTGGTGGTTCCTGGAGACAGGGCCATGAACAATGCCCATAAACCAAAACACAGGGAGCTCTATCTCAGCATGAGGAGARCTTCTTTACACTGAGGGTGGCCGAGCACTGAAACAGGCTRTCCAGGGAGGTCGTGGAGTCTCCTCTGAAGACGTTCCTGTGTCACCTGCTCTGAGTGACCGTGCCTTGCCAGAGGGGTTGGACTAGAGRATCTCCAGAGGTCCATTCAAATCCTAACGATTCTGGGATTCTGTGATCTTAATCACAGAATCACACTGTATCCTGTGTTACATTTCTTTACTAGAGCCCACAATGAACAAAGCTCACTTGTCTTTTTCATATTTTTGTGTTTTGTTTTCAGGAGCTGAACCAATGACTCTTGGCTCCCCGACATCTCCAAAACAAGGAGCTAGTGCTCAGTTTCTCCCTGGGTTCTTGATGGGTGACTTACCTGCRCCAGTGACTCCACAGCCACGTGCTTTAGGTGGCCCTTCAGTTGGTGTAATGGAAACAAGGTCTCCGCTACTTGCAGGTCAGAATTTGTTCATCCTGTCTGTATGCAAGCTAGTCCCTCCTCTCAAGAGCTTACATTTTTATTTAATATGAAATTACATGGGAAGACAAGGAATTTGGACAATGGGGTTGTGATAGCATTGTGCAATGTCTCTGTGCATTYTGGTATGGTTCTTTAACATGTAGGATATCTCAAGTCTTAATCTTGCATTTGCATCTCTTCTATAGGYAGGTTAGTCTCTGAAACAATTAAAATAGACTTCTAGCTGGGCTTAAAGTAGAAAGATACAGTGATGCTCATAACTTCAGAAAAAGAACATGTAAACAGTGAATATAATGGGTTAATAAGAGATGTGAAAGTTCTATATGATATTTCTGTAGGATGCTGTTTGAGACACATGCGATGCTCCTACCTGGAGCATTCAAACCTGAAGAGTTTGGTATGACAGATGCAAACCCTCAGTGAAACAATCAACATGAGAGCATGGGATTTATTATTGAAGTTTCAAGAACAAGTAGCAGCAAATCAAAATTGCAAGTTTTCTCATGCTCTTCTTCTGTTCCTTTTAATTGCAGGAGGGTCTCCCCCACAGCCAGTAGTCCCTACACATAAAGATAAAGGTGGTGCTCCACCAGTTAGAAGCATATATGATGAGTTGTCTAGTCCTGGGCTTGGATCAACACCTCTGTCCTCAAGAAGACCAGTAAGTGTCTTCAGTACTGGCCTGTTCTTAGCAGAAGATGTGAGGCAACTTGCTGCCTCAGTGAATTCTCAAACTTAGTTTTATAAAATGAGCAAAATGGTGAGCAAAATGACTGGTGAGCCTCAAATTTCTGCAAGGTAAATTTTACAAGCTCTGCTACTTAATCCAACATTACTAGGTCCTTTTTCATTGAACCCTTTTGATGCAAGAAGAACAACTTGTCACCGAATGAACAGTCTTTGTATTGAATGTTACCTTCTGAAAAGTTTATTCTGAAAGCTGAGGTTCTCTGTGAAGGACAGAATCCAATAGTGTCTTAAAGGATCGGATATTAAATTTCCAAAAATGTTGAGCAGCTATCGGAACACATGTTACTATGTCTGCAGGTATTCCAGATTGTTTGATCTTGTATCTAAGAAGTGCCATGATTCACACTAAAAATAGACTAAAATTTTTGTTTTGGGTGTTGAAATCCTATGTTAGAAAGAAAACAACTACTTCCATCTGAAATTCAAGGTATTTTGAAAGAAAACAACTACTTCCATCTAAAATTCAAGTGCATCCTTCTATGCACTAAATAGTTGAGTAGGAAAGTACGTCTAGTAAGTCTCCATACAAGTGGAGGTTATGTTTCCATGATTTCTGAACCCTTTAATGAAAATGCTGATAAACTTAGAATACTAACATCTTTCCCATCAGGATGCACATGAGTGTGTGAATTATTATAGCACAGCAATAGTGACATGACTATTTTGAGAAGTTAAACGAAAAGTTTCTGAGTATTGATATTTAAAGCCACYTTGTGTCACAAAGCATATGTCAAATACATTGTCAAGTTTTCATTAATACCTTGTGGTAATCTTGTATTAAATATACTTGCAAATATCTGTTCTTACTCTTAGAAGTTACAAGTAACTTAAGGCAAACAGTTACCTGAATGTTTAAATTTGAAAATTATTTCTTTTGAGATGAACAATATACCTGTAAGAACGGTGTGTTACTTTCTGTATCTTAATGCAGGCCAGCTTTACTTTAACACAGAGCCCATCAGTTGGAATTTTGCCATCGACWCCGGGAGCAGGTAGATGTCCTGTCAAAATTTCTACTCTCTTTCCTTATTGCTTTCTTTAATACAGAAAGRTCATCACTGTTCAAACTACATCAGTTCCTTGCTAATTTTTGAAGAGGTTGTGTATTTACTGCCTTTTCAAAAGGTATATGGATATGAGTAGGAAATAATTATCTGTTCTGAGACTGAGTTTCAATCAACTTTACTTGTTCCTTGTTCCAAATGTGGTATTGAACTGAGCACAGAGGTGGCTGTGATTGAATGAAGCAATGGAAATTGATTGCCTTCCATCTTCACAAGGTTTGATATTTTGTGTATGAACTGGTGGCTTCTTGCTAAGTTTTATTCTGTTGGCCTGTTCCTGTTTAGCAACTGTATTAGCTGTTGGTGTTTAGAAATCAAGGAGAACGTTATCTTGCTAGTCATAAAACCTGATTAGCATGTTTGCAGATGTGAAGTTAYGATTGGCTTTCTTTTTGTGATGATCTGTGAGCAAATCCCCATCAAACTTTTCCATATAAAAGTAAAATGCTTGATGCACTGAATTTATTCTTTTACTATAAATTTCCATCTCACAAAAGAAATTTGTTYAACAATACCATTTCAATTTCACAGCTTCAAGCATGTTCAGTCCTGCAAGTATTGGGCAGCCTAAGAAGACTACTCTATCTCCTGCTCAGCTAGATCCGTTTTATACTCAAGGTGATTCCCTTACTTCAGAAGATCAACTTGATGACACATGGGTAACTGTATTTGGGTAAGTTGATTTCCAAAGTATTAGRAAAATGGGGATGAAGTCTTTACAGCATATGGAGAGAAATTCTTGGGTGTTGGTGTTGTCTAGCATTGGTAGGTGCTGCAGGAAATACAACTAAAGCAAGCAAACCTATATTTCAGTGACATGCTATTTTTTTGTAGTGAGGAAGGAACCATTCTGAAGCTGGGCTGTGTGGTAAAGTGCCTAGAGGGTGGTATTTCTCAAGTCATTGCTTCTGATGACATGACAGTGGTCTCCTTTGGATTTCTAGAAATGCTTCATAGGGTTATATTTTAACACCTGAATTCTTCAACTACTCATAATTTTTTGAGTATTTTTTTCTGTCTTTCAGATTTCCTCAAGCATCAGCTTCCTACATCCTTCTACAGTTTGCTCAGTATGGAAACATATTAAAGCATGTGGTATGTCTTAGTTTGATACTTATGTCACAAAACATTGCAAATTATGCATTTAAAAAGCTACATTTCACAATTTTCACTTTATCTCATACAGATGTCCACCACAGGAAATTGGATGCATATTCGATATCAGTCTAAGCTTCAAGCCAGGAAAGCCTTAAGCAAAGATGGAAGAATTTTTGGTGAATCTATCATGATTGGTGTCAAGCCCTGTATAGATAAAGTAAGTTAATAGCTGCTTTTAGTTAAATATAAGGCACTTTGTTTTTGGTCTTTCTTTTTTTTTTCCCTGACCTCCTTAATGTTTTTCTTTTGGAATTGCAAACTGTAGTTATTTTGTTTATACATGTATAGCATGTGTAGTCTGTTACGCATTTACCTAAGTTTTTTTTCTTAAATATTTGTCAACATTTCCTGCTGAGAAGGATCATTATGGGCAATCTCTGTGCTCCTTGGAAGTTACAATGCACAGACTTACATTGCTGTATGATAAGGATGTGAAATCATAATACAAGAGACTATTGAGATAAGTTTCCTGACTCGAATTTGTGGTGTTTAGGGCCTGCAATAGATACATAATGGCAGATTAAGACTGCTGCTGCTCTTAATTGTCGCTCTCTATTTTTTATGTGACTATGTGCTTCTGAGTTTATCTTTGTATGATGGACTGAAAATTTATTAGCAAGACAGCCCCAATCCTGTTCTCCCGTGTGCCCTTGGAAAAACATGTCACTCTCTTGTGTGTAGTAGTAGTAGTTGGGATAAACATGGCTGTCTTGTAGTCTTAATATTAACATGAGCTGTTAGTGTCTAGGTTTTGACAATGCCCTGACCTTTAATTCTTGAAGCACTGTGTGTTGGGGACTTTGCATTAGCTTGAGCAAATAATAGTCATTCTTCTATAGTGCACAGATTTTTATTTTTTTTGTGTGTCTCCTGTAAGTATACATGATACTAAGGAGTAATGTAAGCTTTCCAATGTAAACCATCCTGAGAAGGCAGCCCTAGAAACCGAACTTGCAATTACTGAAGTTTTAGCAGTCTGAAGCATTTCTTACAGTCTGTAAAATTCAGAAACAGAAGTACTTCTGTGCCCCTTTTCTCCTTGCGCTCCTTCTGGTGGTCTGTCTCTGCCTTTTTACTCTTTTGGTGTCCAGTTTGTATCTATGAATGAATTGCCTGTAAGCTGAAGCTCTAGAATTGATAATCTAAGACATTGAATTGCTAGGCATCTGACCTTCATTGCTTTTGAATTCTCCTTATGTCTTTTGTGGATAATATCCACTTTCATATACCATCTGGTTTTCTCTGGTTTGTTGTGRAATTTAGGGTTCCTGTCACATCACTTGCTAACTCTTCCATTTTGCATGCATTCCTGTCTAAACATAAGCTTACAAAATGGAGCCTTCTGACTCTTTTTCTAGCATTTGCTAAGGGTGAAATGCTTTGGCAAGTTGAATCTGTGCAACAAGCTGCAAGTTGGTAAAGCCTTGGAGACTTAAGTGTTTTAGAAATATTTAGAAAGAGGGTGTTAGGCTACTTTGTTCATCTGGGCCTGAAACAAGTTACTATTTGAAGTTTGTTGCAAGTCATACAATTTATTTTCTCTACACTGTTTCAAACTTGGTTGACATTCAATGCTGACAGAACCAATTCCAACTTCCCACTGCGTTGCAGTGACATAATTCAACACGTGAATGATTGCCATGAGGAAAATGCTTGGTGGTCATGTGTACCTGTGTGCTCTGTACTGACAGGCCTTATATCTTCTGAGATCTGAATATGTTTTATCAAAAAAAAATGAAATAGTAGATAATTTTAGATAAAAAAAAGGCTGCAATACTGCTTTTCAGTATTTGTTTACATTATATTAATCCTCTATTTAAGAGTGTGATGGAAAACTTTGAAAGAAGCTCTACATCCTCAATGTCATCGATTTTCACTCCACCTGCAAAATCTGCTGGCACACCAATACAATCTGCCAATAATACTACAAGGATTTCTACAATGAGACCTCTTGCAACAGCATATAAGGCTTCCACTAGTGACTATCAGGTATTTTCAGGGAAACAGAAATGTGTATATTTGTGTTGTCTCCCCTTAGCTCTATGATGCTATACAGGCATTAACTTCAATGTGACTCTAGCTTTTATCTTTTGCTGTCTGTTCTTTAAAGATGTGGTTCAGGTACAGTCTCAGTCTGTTCAGTCTCTAAAATAATAATAATAACAATAATAATAATAACTATTAAATTAATGATTTGTCACTTTTCAGGGGATCAAGGGCTTGTTTTGGAAATATTTCAAACATATTTTGTCAGAATATAGTAGCACTAAGGGAAATAATAAATAAATGGTTAGTGTAAAAACTATTAACTATATGTTGCCTGATTCTCTGTATTTTCTCTTTTTRTTTYTYTCCCTGYYGTCTAGGTGGTTTCTGACAGACAAACTCCTAGGAAAGATGAAAGTATTGTATCTAAAGCAATGGAATATGTTTTCGGCTGGTAATAAACAAGACAAAGTAACACACTAAGCTGGTCGGGGTTTGAGCTATACTACTGGCATTTGTAGTTAGTTGTATAACTACTGGTGGCAGTATTTTATCTTACCTAGCACCTATTATGCCTTCAGATAATTCAGAAGACATGTAGCTTGCACTTTAAATGATGGCAATGTACACATGGTTTGACAAGCTGAGTGAGTGTAAATAAAAGTGCTTTATCCCTATTTGTGCTCTGATGGCATGGTTGTGAAAAAATGTCAGCACTGCCTTTTCCTCTGTAATTGCTTTCTGTGAATTACTTCACAGGAAGTTGGAAATGCTTAAAATGGCAGCTAAATTTACTGATGCCTTTAATTCTTTTTTCCCCCTCTGGAGTGGTGATGGGCGACTTGCAGGAGGAAAACAATGCAGAGCTGTCTGCCAGGGGCAGGGCCTGTTGTTAATATGTGTGAATTTTTTTTAATTAGGGTTCATTGCTGTTTTACAATTATCTCTGGCATGCTATTCCAAGTGTCATAGGAACCTTTTAACTCTTCGTTTTATTAATAAAGTTAAGTTTCATTTCTTAGGTTGTTCGTCAAACAAATATGAGTTCTGTTAGGAAAAGCCATTAGCTGTACTCTTAACTGTTAAACATGTTGTTGCCTTGTGTTTATTGACATGTTATCAGCAGAGCAGGTGCTGCTGATTTTTACCAAAGCAGTACCAACTGGGATTCAAACTAGCTTAACATCGTCTCCATGGATATTTTATAACAATGTGCACCTAACAGGTAACAAACTTTAGCATTCTCAACTGTAAAATTTTTATTTGAAATAGCTGAAGTGGAAAATRCAGTGTGTCAATGACCAGAGCTTCTTTCAAGAGGCGTTTCAGAAAATTTCACTGGGTATTGGCTGAATGGCGATTGACTTTCATATTTTTATTTTTTAAATTGAAGTTTCCCCTTTGAAGTTTTGGAGGTGAGCCTTTCAAGTAGTTATGGGCTCTTTCACCTGGAAAGAACATAATCTTTTTCTGTTATACTTGGGGAAACTACAGGCCATGTGTCCTCTCTGTGATTTTGTGTCTGTGTTAGTGTGGGTCACCATTAGCCTTTCAGTCTGGGTCAGTAGTATGTTGGCCCCATGACTTTCCAGTCTTATCTGTTTCCAAGCCTTCCTTCATGCTGCAGAGTGGTTTTGCATTTTGATGAAATCAGATTGAAAAATTAGACCAGAGGCATAATGTGCCTCAAGTGCTAATGAGATAGTTCTGCATAAAATCCCAAAGCACTTAGTGAGAAGTTGTCTCTACGTCAAATTCAGAGATTTTTGAGATGCCTTTTACTAGCTTTAGGAGTAGTTAAGTGTTTGCTTTCCTATGTAAAACTTGGTACAACCAGGCCTTAAAAACCRCAAACACATCAGACTTGAGCCATGTCCAGAGGTTTAGGCAATCTCATTTCTTCCACAAAAGACAAGCAACTGTATGTGCCTGTTCTTTCTTCCAAGAGTTTAATCCCATATTCAGGACACTTAGCGTAAACATCCAAAGCTCACTTGTAAATCAGGGTGGTCTCTGGCTCTGCCCTCTTCCCTTCCCTGTGTAGGGATGGACCACTGTGGTGCTTTCAAGGAGGCTATTCTTGAATAACCTCCAGTATCCCAAACTCCTTTGCCCTCCATGAATGCTTGCCATGGAGTCCCTCTCAACTGGGTTGAGAAAATACTGAGGTTGGCTCTTCTAAAATCCAGGGTCCTTGTCCTGCTGACCTTCAGCRTGCTCAGCAAGACCTTTAACTCCTAAAGGTCTTCTGGACAGGGACCTTTCCAGCCTGATCTGCCCTTGTTCCTCTCTGTCTCTGCACAAAAGACAACACAGAATTGAGCGGCAGGAGGGGGCTTGTGTGCTCCAGGACTCAGTTTTTGCTCCACTTTGGCTCCATAAAGATACAACTAAAGTGAAGATGCTGAAATGTTTATTACTAGAAAGCAAAGCAGAGGAAAAAGATGGGAGAAGGGGAAGGAAACAGGGTTTGAGGGCTGCAGGGGAGAGCTGCAGAGAGGCAGGGAGAKAGCAGGAGCCACCTGAGCTGCCAGGCAGGCTCAGGTGTGCACAGCATCAGGTGTGCTTGGCGCTCCAGCTGATTTCTTCTTCTGCTGCTGTGCTGGTTGTCTCGCTCCAGATGAACTTAGTACTGCAGCTCTTTCATCGAACATGACTTGAACTATCAGGTTTGTGTTGGAGGGGTTTTCATCTGATCTCAGGGCTTGAAGGGCTGAAACAGAGAAGAACAGAGCCACAGTCAGAGGAAGGAACCCCCTGAAAGGTCCAATCCACCCAGCCCTCGCCACGGCCAGGAGRGAGCAGGAGACAACAKGATCAGCTGGATAGAGCTGGCCAAGAATCCCCCACAGGCCCATGAGGAGTCTCTGTGGTCTGCCCACGCTGCCCCTCGTCCACGCGAGGAGCAGAGCCGTCTGCAGCCACGCCAAGGATCGCAGGTGCCCCTGCCAGCCCCCACTGTCACCCCGCTGCCTTCACTCACTCTCAGAGATGAGCTGGAGCTCTTCGTGCTGCCCCCTCATCAGCATCCCGGCGATCCCTGGGAACACAGAGCCCGTCATGGCCCCGGGCCCGGATCCTGCTGCGGTACGCTACGGAGGGACCGGGATCCCGGGCTGGTGGCTCACCGATGGACCTGACCGCCGCCTCCCGCACGGGCTCCTGCGGGTTATCCAGGTAGGGCAGAGCCTCCCGCAGGTGCTCGGCCGCCCGGCTCCTGTCCTCTGCC